ACCTCATCTCTACAATAAATCAAAAATTAGCCGGGTGTGGTAGCGCGAGCCTGTAGTTCCGGCTACTTGGAAGGTTGAGGCGGAAGGATCGCCGGAGCCCAGCAGGTCGACACTGGGGTGGCAGTGAGTGTGCCACTGCACTCCAGCCTGGGCAACAGAATGAAACTCCAAATCAAAAAAAAAAAAATAGCTGCTTGTGTCCACTATAAATTCACGCTATCTCACTGTCAAAGTTCCTTGATGTTATTAATCAGTTCTAATTTCTTATTACACTACCCTACAGCAGTTATTTCCTATACTGCTCAAAATCCTAACCATGACTAACATTCTTGGCAGTTGAGTTCTTAATTAAGTGAAGTGGCTCTCGAAATGTGATTTCCAATTCCCTACATCAGCAGTATCAATGTCACCTAAAAATCTGTTGGAAATGCACATTTTCAGGAGCCACCCCAGACCTATGAAATCAGCATCTCTAGGTGGTATCCAACAATCTACATTTTATCAAGTCCTCTAAGTTATCCTGAAGTAGGCTAAAGTTTGAAAACCTAAGCTTTAGTAAAATCTAGGTCAGCAGATAGAATCTTTCTACCTGTAATTTTATTCATATCTCCTTGCCTCTGTATAAGAACAGAGAGAGAGGGAATGAGAATGAATTCAAACTACATATAGTTTTTTTCAGCATTTCCTAAATTTAGCCAATAAACCTGTCATTGGGCAAGATTTATTTAACAGAGCCAGTGATCCAGTGATACACCTGCAAAAACAACATTCTCTATCTTCTTGTGACCTACTCACATTTTAGTCCCCGAAAAGTTAGCTTCTGCTCCCAACATTCAACTAAAATTGCTTCTCATTCAGGCTTGTAGATTTGCTGTAAGGAGAGTATAAAGTCCCTTATCTGCTTGTTTTGTTTTGATAGCAAAATAACAAACAGCAACTGAAAAGGGAAGATTTTTTTCAAAATTTGAAAAAGGGGGGAAAGTCAACCTACTAAGACTGTAGGTAACACTTGTGGTCATGAATATTTAAGGTGAAACTTAGTCAAAAGAGTGTGTTTTTCTCCAGCCTCATCTGGTTGTTTGGGTACAAAGTAGTTAGAGTAATGGTTTAATCAGGTAGAATATGACCAGGGCTGAAAGGGTGATTGTATCAACAGACCAAAGAATCTAAGCTAGGTTAAGAAAAATGAAGACATAATAAGGGTGATCCACAACAAGCAGATTTATCAAAATGGAGAAATGGAGGTCAGCAGATGATGACTGTTCCAAAATTGT